TACACAGAAATCAAACTTAACGGGGAGCAAGATCTCCATTAAGAGATACTGAAAACTACAGTCTTAAACTAGACTACAAAAATAAATGCTGAAAAAGGATATTAAATTGGAGGGTACCTTGAATATTAAAGGGTGAAAAACTGAAACAACAGCATGGGTAATTAGAGGTTGTATGATCTCATAAGTATTCCTACCACAAAATGACTAATGTCACATGTGAGATGAAGACTTCATTCCTCCTCACTATGGAGCCATCCTGAAGTGACAGTTTGCAAAAAGAAAACGAGTTTCTTTTGGACCAGTCACAACACTAAGATGTTTTTGGTATGGCACTAAGAACAGTCGAATACTACTGAAGAACAGAAGTACCTACATATTATTTCTAGTTTAAACTATTGCCTACTAAATGGAAATTGTTATTTGAAATGTCTCAGTGGATTTGGGTTAATCTGGGGGGAACAGGTGTTGCTGCGAGAGCATGGCTACAACGTGACATACCCTGTTCTGTCACAAGCATCTTATTTCATAAGCAAAGTTGAATGGAAAGCAAAGAAACAGACAGAACACATGAAAATTACAAATAATAGAGATTAGGAGCATTGTCCACACTACTTGGAACAGAGAAATGGAAGGATACAGACAGTAAAATAGTCTGTAGAAATAAAATGGAATTTGAAGAAAAATTCACACTAAATTCTAAGGAGAAACTTGGGAAACAGCAAAAGTGAAAGATACCGTAGGGAAGTGGGAAAAGCCAGGTGACAGAAAACTTGCCATTGGTAATGACTATAAAAATGCTGGTGCAATTTTGAATTGAACATACAAAGACTTTATATCACAGCAGCATAGAGAATTTCTTCCCTCCAGACACAGCTTTTGTGTGGCTACGTTTGGAGTATTTTGTTCATTCTGAGCAAGCTTTTTTCAGAAAAATGCTGACAAATAGGAGGGAGTTCCAGAGAACAATGACTTCTTTTCATGGACTAGAGAGCTTTGATGAAAGAATAAATAAATATGCATATATCGTCAGATTACATGAAAACAAGTATGTGTCTAAATACATTTAAAAACAGTCTATAAATATTGAAAAATATAATCAGCAAGAACCAAGAGGAGCATTCATAATTTTTCCAGAGCATTGGAAAAGGAAGAAGACTGTAAGGAAACATCTGTCTGGTTTTACATGATGGAAAAGAGCTCTTCTATGCTTCTTCTAAAGTCTTATCTTAAAATTTCAGGGCCAACAATTACCTGCAGTGGGGCTGAACTGTTTGTGAATATACATAGTGACACAGCTCAAGGATGTCTAGCATCAGTTAAGGCACAACAAGTTGACTTCTATTGCTATTAACTAAGGACATAAAATTAGTCTCGTAGGGTGGCAAACAAGACTTGTGAGACACACCAGAGACGAAGGGTAAGAAAACAGCTAGAAGACTCTGTTGGGGCAGACAAGTGAATTTTTTGGATGTACAATTTTGCAAAAGAATAAATGTAAAAACAGAGAAGACAGAAGATAGAAAACTGTGCAGAGCACCTGCATACATGAGATTTTTCCCTTCTCCCTGGTATTGACTAACAGTAATAGAGAAAATACATTTCTATATCAAAGGATACCTAGTGATAGATAAAAACGCTGCCACATTATTTAAATATTTTCACAAAAGATAATGTATATTATCATTAACATTCTGTAAGAACTGCAACTGTCTACCACTCAAGTATTGCAGTTGCAAGGAAAAAATGTTTGCATCTGGAAATACAAACCAGAAGTTCCCTAAACAACTTAACTTTGGCCATATGTAAAGCCCTGATCTCTGTCCAGCAACAAACACTTTTTAAACCAACAAGCAGACTGTATAAGCATTTCCAGTATGGATTTAAACACTATCCCCATAAATTACAGGCAAAATAAGATAGTAAAAAAAAGTGGTTTTATCTACAAAATTAAGCCTACACTTTGGCTTTAGTCCAAATGTGAACTCCCATCAACTGCCGTAAAAGATGAAGAATTGCAGCATTCACTAATAACATCTACAAGACAGTTTCCTTCAGATTCAGCCATCCATTGGGTGAATTTTGGGTTTTAATTATCCACATGAATTTCATCACTTCAGTCACATGGACAAGAAGGCAAAGGATATTCACACTGCTTAATTGAATTCACCCTCACCCCTCAAAATATGAATCATAGTAACTAATTCAAAAGCTTCTCCACACCCACTGACTAGACTGAGGCTATAAATTTAGGGACCAGGGATAGGTAAGGAAAATCAGATATTGTTAATACCCGTAAGATCATCTATTCCATTGTAAGAAAAAAAAGTCATTACACATCATTGAAACAACTGCAATAACCCAGTATGGTTCCGATAGTGTTCAAAAGGCAAAGTGAGTGGGGAAACGGAGTAATTGTTTTTGAAACTTCATCATAAATTTCTGAAGTTTCAAGAAGTTATTTTTAATAGATACATTATGCTAGGCACTTAGTTTCAATTTAATCAATAATTACAGAATTCAATTAATGTTACTTCTTTGGGCTGTAAAGACTCAGAAACTAGCTTTATCTTGTACACTACAATAGCAATTATGTATTTATGCTCAGAAAAGAAAGCAGAAAAACATGTTTTCTAATCAAAAGTACAGGAGGATTAAGGAGAAGCAGGACTGAATCATTCCAGCTGCAATATGACCCAAGGGACTACTCTCCCTACTCTCAGGAAAAATGCTAAAATGTCTTCCAGTATCAGATTCAATTATTACCAGTTTTAAAATCATGACTTAAAGATAACATCTCAATAGCACCATGTCATGATCACATCATTTCATCATCAGTTCAGTAATGAGAGGAGAGCATGCTGGATGAACACCATACACGGAAGAGATTAAAACCATTTCTGACATCAATGCAAGTTTTCCTGAAGGCTTGCTATTGCACATTTCATGTTGACATAATGAATTTTCCATTTTGAACTGGTTCTCTCATTGACCCAAAAGACATAAAATATGGGGCCAAAGCTTATGCTTCTTCATATGTTTTTGTTATGACACATATTGGCAGACTAATTTTCTTCCCTTAAAAACATTTGTTTGAATGAATGATCTAATAAACCCTATTGTAAGAACAAACCTTATCATTGCCACTTTGTAATAAAAACAGGGATTCAATCTCTCCACTGTGATTTAAGCTTAGTCTTGCAAGTTAATCCAACTTAAATGAGTGAAGAGTGAGAAAATAATGTCCTATATAAATTCTTTTTAAGTATAGGAATAATTCGACAGTCAGAACACTTAACTTTGTTATAACCAACCAAACTCTTGCATACCTATTATTTTTAAAAATAATGCATTTTTTCCTCAGTACAAGGTAGTAATGATTTTTATATCAACGTGTTTTTATTATATAGGATAAAGACACTTCAACAACTCAGATAATTTTTAAAATGGCTCACTGTAATGTCAAAACTAATCAAATAAACCATTGCCACCTATCTTAAATGATTAGTTTGAGTAACAGCAATGAAACTGTATAAGGAAAATACTAGGTGTTTATGTGCAAAGTTCTCATTTGTTTATTTCTTGTCCCAAATGCTGCTTGAGAATCTGTGGCTAATTTTTAGCACTGGCTGCAACACTTCCTCTGGCACTACTGCCTAGGCGCCACCCTGCATGAAGGTAATAAATCAGGAAAACCGAAACAGAAATTCAGCCCTCCTTTTACACGGTGCTGGGAATACAACCTTCAAAACCATTAAGTTAGTTTGCAAGCAAGAGATCAATTCAACCAACACACTTTTCACTTTTGTGTTGCTTTAGCACAGTGAATCATCTGCAAATTCAGTTTCCCTAGCTAGTGCACTGTGGTCATCTTATACTGTTCCCATTTTCTGATACACAGACCCTTAGGTTTTAGTTACTTAAGGTTTCTAGTATATAATCTAAAATCATCAGAAGTAATCTACAGGAGCATTTTCTTTACATGCTTGTTTAGTTACACAAATGTTATACAATAAATTAGAAAATATTTTTAGATTCCTAATGGAAAAAAGTTAAACTACATCCATGTTTGACAGAACACATTTATAAGCAATAATATATAATGAACTCAAATCAACTCTAAGTTGAAAGTCTAAGCAATTGAAAACTTATGTGAGTACTTAAGAGAAATCTAAATATGTTAAATTATGGAAATAAACACTTCAGGCACTCAATCTTAATTCTGCCCTTTAGTGAACATAAGCAAACAAAAAAAAGTATGTGATTTTAAAAGTTCATATTAATCTAACTGGAACCACAAATACCAAAATACTTCAACAGCAATCACGCAGTCATTTCATATTACAACTCATGGCCATGAGGTTATTAGGTTAAGTATCTTTCTTTTTTTTTCCTTACCTTAGCTCCTTATAAGTGGAACGTAACCAGATTTCCTGCGCAATATTTACAAGTGCAGGTTACCTCCATCTCTGTGCCTGTTTAGCCTTTTTTGACAATGTGGTGTCAAGCAAAGCAACAGCAGCTTTGCACAGAATTTTTCCCCCCTACTATCTGCCTCTCACACTCCAACCTATAATGCAGTAGTTGTCAATGCAGTAGCCTACACGGGAGAATTAAAGGATCTCTCTTATCCCACTTTTCCTTGTGCAGGACATAACAAAAGCCACACAAGTTTTTGCTTAGCAGTGTTGTACTGCAGTGCTAGGGAAAATTACACCAAAAGCCTTTAGAATTTTGTTTTGTAAGGGGATTGGAAATCTATTATACTATGCCACATTTTAGTTTGAAAATTGTTTTGGGTCAGAACCCAAGGTCAGAGTAATTCTCTTGTGCTATATTCCCTATTGCTTTTTCTGCTTCCCAGTTGTGTATCCCTTGACCTGTCCAGAGATACTGCAAAGTAAATTTACAGAGGAAGTTTAAAAAAAAATATCACCCCCTCCCCCAGACTCATACATTTCTACACCAAAGGGCAGATTTTTCCTATTCCAGGACTATCTCACCTCTGGAGTGACATCTCGTGGTGCAAACCCTGTTCCTCCAGTTGTTAAAATCAAATTAAGTTCCTTTTCATCACACCAATCTATCAGCGTCTCCTGAAAGAAAACAGGAATCCTGTCAGATTTAACAAGTAATACGTGGGATACAGTTATCTCAGAAAACACCTGAAGACTTGAAATGTCTTAAAAACAGACACACACAATAAATACAGGGAATTGTAAAATCACTCATGGCTTTGTATACAAAGACTTTAAACCACTATTTATAACCAACATATCACAGAATAATTCAAGTATCCAGCATAATATTTTTGGAAATGCAAACTGAAACTCTGTTCTCCATCTCTTGACCTGAAATGGCAAACAAGAATTCACAGTTATTCATTTATATCAGTTTATTTTGATTTTGAGATATAAATATAATGCTTTGACACATGTTGATAGAGTATGCGCATTTAATTCAGATTACATGGTTGATGCTTATTACAGTAACTTTGGTTTCTGTGCTCCACTTTAACAGCCTGAAAAAAGTAAGAACCACATATTTGTAAGCTTATCTACTAAAAGATGCAATAATAGACCTGATGCAGCAACACAAAAGATTATCTATAATCATGTTTTCTACATTCCCTACAACATCTCAATAGGACTGTGCATACCAATTTCAAGGCTGGACTAAGAAAGCTTAATAAATCTGTCATGTAAATTCAATGACTTACAATACTGGAGAACTCATGATACTAGAGAAGTGTTTAATTTTATTTGCATTCATTTTTTAAATGACATTTTAAACTAGTTTTCAAACAGTGATAAAAATTTGACATAAGCAGAAAATTTCTGTAGTCTCAGTATGATTATATCACTTATCCTTCATACTCTACTGTGGGCTAGCACAGCAGCAGAATGTCTGCTTGGAGCTCAAAATTAGCTGTGTTACACGAAGTACACTCATGTATTACACAGCAAGGTATCCATCTGCAGAAATCAGTCAGATCAATTACTTAGACAGCTATCCTTATTCTAGCAAAGAAACCTCATTCCTTGAAAAAGTTTAGGGCATATTTATGTTTCTGGAGTGTTATACTGGGGAGGAATGAACTGTTTTGGTGACTGTTGGCTAGAAGCTTATTATTTATCATAAAATTAGATCTGAGCGACATACTGATTTAAACAGCTTAAAATACTGTTGATGGTCATAAAACTGTCCAGAACATTTTAAAAAGTACTACAAATTTAGATTAATCCTCAGGTACGTTCTGCAGGCTTAGCACTGCTACATAACTTTCAATTAAGAGAAAGCTCATATATGGCCTCTTCCAAATTGCACGTAGAATAAACTTGTGTCTGCCTGCAAGCCCCATCATGCAAGCAAAGACGTGGCAAAGCCAAAGGTTCTGTCTTTATTTCTCCTTTCTTTACTCATTCCTTCCACTTTTCCTTTTGCATTCTCTCTTGTCTTTATTAAAATCACATTCATCTTTTTACTCTCCCATTTCGGAGGGTGGCACTTTACTTAGCTGGGCTGTAAATTACCAGACGTTTCTGGTTATATGACCATTTCAAATAAGCTCAAGAAAAAAAACACTTAATGTCTCAGACCTGTACATAAATGAAATATTAAGTCTGACTTCTTACTTACATTTTGAAAAAAATGTGAATTAAGATAGTAAAAAGCATTTTAAGTGTTAAAATTGTTTGTTTCAGTAACAGAGATATGCATCAGAAAAACTGTTTTAAAGAGGTAGCATATTCTCTATTTTATCATCTAGAAACACATACATCGACTTTGAACAGCTACAAATTTCAGAGAATACTTGAGAATTTCAGTATAAAAATGGTGTTTGGCAAAGTTAGAGCTTAATATTGTATATATTTTAAAAATTATCATCATCAAGAAAAAATAGTCAGTATAAAACAGGAGGGTGAGATTTTGTGATTTTTTTTTTTTTTAAATGAAGCATTTATCTTTAGATAAAACAAAACCCACCAAACTCCAACTGGTTTTACAGAGAAAATAAATCCTTCCTCTGTTCTCATTTTGCTACAGTTCAATAATACTCCAGTTAACAGGGAAAAAAAAGTCATGTGATAGCCTACAAAAAGCTAAAGAAATCAGTATACACCCCAATTCTTCAAATAAACTGAGCAATAATTAAATACCTATTACTGCTATTCCATCAGTGTACTTAGGCAGACATATAATTCTCTATCAAATTCTAGTTATAGTAAAGAAATATAAGCTTTCAGTATGAAGACCTTTGACTATGAGGCAGGAAGTTTGGGTTTCATTGTATTTTGGAAGTGTAAATTGTACCACTTAGATCTTTTAAAACCATGGAAAAATACCTGAGACTGATATTCAGCTTATTTACTTTCTAGCCCACAAAACTCTACCCCCCAAAACATTCTCATTGACATTTTAAGTATGTAAAAAAGGAAGCACCACCCTGATCAAATGAGGACAAAAGGCTACTCATATTCACTTTGCTGCTGCCAGCAGTCCAGCTACATTCTCCATTGACTTTGCATGGAACTGACTTTGCTGTGTCTTCAGATGAGAATTCCTCTATATCAAGGACCTGATATTTGGCTTTAATGATGCTATACAAACAAAATTATTATATAACATTTCAACCAGAAAAAAATTCATCAAATAGTTTTTGTGCATCTTTGTCCTCTTCTATTGTTTCATTGATGATAGGCTTTCAAGACAAAATGAGACTAAGTCAACAAGTTATGTAAATCACTGTCACTCCATTCAAGTCAATGGAATTATGCTGATGGATACAAAAACACACTATCTGGCTCTGAAAACAGCACTGTAAAATCACTACCAAATTTTAAAAAGCCAGAATAAAACTACAAACCTCCAGAAAAAAAAAACAACCAATAAATAGCTTAATATTTTTAACAATTAATATCCTAAAATAGGCTTTATCAATTATTTTCTAGTGTGAAGGTAGACAAGGACAAATGAAGTCATTACAGTCAGTTCCTCTAGACACATTTTTACTTCAAAAGCACACAACTGTGATTCTAACCTGTTCAGATTTCATTGAAGTCCTAGAATAATTATATTAATTATGTTTTTCTGCTGCACAGAAATAAAATGTCAGCCCAGTTGTCTCCTTAAGCTTTGGATTAGATCTAGTGTCCTGTCCTCTCTACCTATTTCTTTGCATTTTCTCTTTTAAATACATTTATATTTCTCTCATTTAAATAAGTAAGAAATCCTTGGGTCTAACATATGATTTATTTCCATCTCTTGCTCCAAAGAGCTCTTGTTTCAATCGGCCATCTCTCTCCCCCAACTTGGAGCTACTTGTTGGACCTCCTATGCACTGCCCAATCTTGAAATTATTTCAGTTATAACACTGCTCATCAAAACCTCTGCTTATGATCTGTTTGAATTTTCTCATGACCAATGTTGATTTCACCAGTGCAGAAAAATCTTGCCTCATTCTTTCACTGAGTTCTTGGTCTTTCACATGTAAATTCATTGATTTTTAATGCCAATAAAGATCATTATCTCATGGAAAGAATGTCTACAGTGTGTGGCACAGTGTCTACCCCACGTTTACTGCAGATGCTTGCAAATTCATACAGGCACTGTCACATTATGACAGACTAAGTCCAAAAGCTGTACAGATGTATTCTTGGGGCACCACACCTAAGCTAGTGCTACGTACCATTTCAGTCAGTGAACGGCTGTAACACTTACAGACATATTTCCTTCTGTGGAGGAAACTTAAGCATTTCACTGTCCAAGATGCAAAACTGCCATTAGTCTAAATGGGCAAGTCACAGAATTTCGGTCAGTTCCTCCTGTATTTAAAACAAATTCTAGGACTCAACCATCTCTTCACTACACCACCCACTCTTCATCTCAAGGATTCAAGAGAGACACAATACATCGTAATTTAATTTGGTAGGGTTTTCCAGCAGCTGTTTATGTTTATCATTAAGTATTTGTTGTGTTTCTAGTAACTCCCCGCCATGATGCATAAGAACCCTGCTCACAGAATGCACAATGGTCATGGTTAGCAAAGTGGGGTATTTTTTAACTCCATTAATGTACCATCCTCTAATCTCTGCAAGTAAGTCAACAGGAGAAACAAACAGGGATTCCTTTCTGGAATGAAAGAAAAAGTTCCCTGATCTTTGGAGATAACTTTTTTTTATTTGTGGGTTACTTATCTTAGTAAATTTTTGCAGTCTCTTGCAATAAAGCCTTATTACAATCATTGGCACTCTCTGTTTCCATCCTTGATCGGTGCTTCACTTAAATAATGGAGTAGAGCAGTTCTACATGTGTAATTAATTATTTCATTTTCAGAGTGACAGAAGCATCCACTCATTGACACAATATTATTAAGCATGCTGTTAGCCAGGAATTTAATCTTGAGAAAGGTTGCAGGATTCCTCCAGATCTCTTACTGCTACTGTACACTGCTCTTCCACGTACATATTTAGACTACGAGTAACGCCCTTAACTGGAGCAGCAGTACTACAAAGCACACAAAAATGGTCACCGTGGATCAGACTAAATGCCTACACAGAAGAGCTGAGGTCTTGAGGACTGTTCCTTTCCTATGATGCTACATTCCTATGGTATTTCTTGTCTTTCTTTTTGTCCTGTTTTTGCCATCACTTTGCTACGAGAGTGTGATAACAGTCCCACGTGTTTATGCATCTGAAATGATTAGAATACAATCCTGCAAGTCAATATTATGGTGCTTATTCCTGGGAGTAACATGTATACTTTTTTTCTTATCAACATGTAATTTACTTCATAATACAAGGACTGTAAAAATAATTCTTGATACATATGCATACTTTTCATACACCTTAACCATTGGAATATGACCTGTACACTGTTACCACTTCAGATATTAATTAGGACAGAATAGGGAAATGCTAAAAAGAATATAAACAGGCAGGTTTTCAGGAAGAATCCATACAGAATTCTTCCATTCTATATTCACTATTGAAACCGGTTAAGTAATTCTATAGTTAACAAAGACGTTTAGTATTTTGGCACACGCTGAATTTTTCTAGCACAGTGCAAATGAAATTATTTCTCCTTATATGCACCA